TTTTATCACGAAGTGATGTTAACTAAAATCGAAGGAATAAGAAGGAATTGTTTAAAATTTATATATATATATATATATATTGAAATAATTGAATAATTGATAAGGAAGAAGAAAAGTTATTTAAGGAGGATTAAATTTGACGAAATTTATTTTCTTATGCAACACGTCATCAAAGGTATCGAGAATTTCGAGTATTTTATTTTCGTTTCGAAACGAAATAGGCCCCTCTCTCTAATTATCCCGTGGAAAATATCAAGTTGAAAGTTTTCCAACAGTTTGTAACACGTTAAGGAGAAATGATTCAACGCGTTATCGATCGTTCATTAAGCTCTACGTGACTGTCGAGTACACTCGGTGACCGAGATGAGAGATATTCTCATCTCGCCTCGCCGCCCTTTTCACCATCGATGACGGCGATGATCGCGGCATCCTGTGTGCCTTCGGCTCGGCTTCCTCGAACCGACCAGTTGCGACGTTTCACGGGAAATTTTTCGAGTTTTTTTATCCGCAAAAGGGATCGAAGAAACCTGTCCAACCGACAATTTGTTCCGCAATTTTCTCGTTTATCAAACCGAGTATCTTCGAATTAACGGGGCTTCGACATCCAATCCGTTTGTTTCCGTCTGCACGATCATGAGCGATAACTTTCAATCGGCGTTAATCGATTTTCCATCCGTTCGTTTTCCACGGAATCTTGTCGAGTATGAGTAAGATAAATTCAATTCGACTTGGTGCGGTGGATGCACTCGACTCGTTAATCTTTTGATCGAATGCGGTTGTTCTTTTTAACCCTTCGCTCTATATTTCCAAAACGTCCCTTTCCAGAATTGATTTTCGATTCTTAGATACGTGTAATTCTTGTAAAAAAAAGAAATTATTCTCTAATTTATTGTTTAAAATTGCATCTAATTTATTCTCCTGCAATAATTTAAATATCCTTTCTAATTTTAACTTTATCGAAATTCCTTTTTAAAATTTTTAAAATCGAAATGGAATCTTTTATTCGAGGCAAACAAAAAAAAAAAAAAA